GTGTGCCCGGGGGTCCCCGGAGCCGTTCTCCGCCGGCAGCGCCAGCTTGCTGCTGTTGGCGGGGCGGCACTCCGTGTTTTGCAGGTCCATGGCTACTGTACCTGGACGCGGCGGGGAAGGAAGCACCACAAACACGCTATAAGGAGGTGAAGGGAGCTGCGTCAGCAAAGCCTCGTGCCCTTGAGCCCTGCATGGGGACGAGGTGGAGCACGTGGGGCCGCGCATCGTGCCCATTCAATGCAACCCAGATGAAGCTAAACCATCCACGGGCACGAGGAATGCAGGGAAAGCGCCCACCAGTGACCTCTGCCTGGGCATTGCTGTATGGAGCTCCCTGGGGGCACAGCTCAACTGCTGCCATGGGTGGGTGCAGGCTGCTGGCCCCGGGGACTGTCACCTTCTCCATCCCCCGGGTGTGAAAAACCTGGTTTTATGGTAGTTTTTACGATTCTGACGTATCTCAGAGATGATGACCCTCCAGCATAACCCCTACCCGCAGGTCTTTGTGGGCTCTGGGAGACACCAGCCACGTTAGGAACAGGCTGATGCCACCGTGTCCACCCCTTGCTGGGACGCTATGCTCCCCATGACTGCCCCTTCGCCCCAGTGGTCTCCTTAAGCTCCCCACGGAGAGGTGGGCATCCCCCAACACAGCGCAACACGCTCATCCTTCTCCCGCGTCCCCACCCTGTCCTCCAGCAGCTTCCAAAACCCAAACCTATTTACGGAGTATTGACCGGGGCCACCAAATCACCATCAGAAACCCCCGCCGAGGCTCTCATCCGAGTCTTGGCCAAACAGTGATTTTTTAGATGGTCGGGAACACGGGGAGTTCAAGCCAAGCCCAGGCGCTGGACCCGCCGGGCCCCCCTGCCCTGCCTGCACTCCGCAATTTCTCTCCCTCTCATTACTCTTTGCCAAAGGTCCCTCTGCAAACGAGCCGTATAATGAGAACAGTGACAAACGCTGTTCAGCAAACTGCTTGGCAGCTTGCTGGGGGATAATCTATGCAAATTGCTGCTCATGAGTACAAACGCATAAATTATTTGCCTGAAGTGTAATCTGGTTGTGTAGCGCAGGCTCCCCAAAACTTGCTTTCCTCAGAGACAAGCTGGAAGTAATGGCTCATGGTATTTTTTATTTGTGAAAATGCACCACTTGCTGCAGAGCAAACTATGCTTTTCCTCGGGCTGTGATTCATAAACATGATTTAAGATGCAGCCAATGGCATTTATTCTTCCAGCCAGGGCTTGGGGCATTTATGCAAATATTGTTAATGATAATGGACACCACAAGCTTTAATAATGATATTTGAGCTTGCTAAGAGCATCCAGGGTGCAAGGAGCAGCATGTATTTTACTGGTGAGGCGACTGGGACAGGGGATGGAAAGGGATTTTCACCGGCTTCAGCAAAACCCAGGGCAGGGGACAGCAAGGCATTTGCAAAAAAGCAAAATAAACCCAAACCTGGGGAAGGAAATTAAATCAAACCTGAGGAAGGAGATGAAGTGATGCACACCCCCTCTCCCTGGGAGCCCCACTGCCCTCCTGCCCCACCGAGGAGCCGCCGACTCACCCATGCTGGCGATGATGCTGTGCACAGGCAGGCGGGATGGGCCGTCGTAGGTGCCTCTCCCTGCAAAGCCCTTCTTCTTCTGCTTCTCCTCCTGCTTGAAAATGAAGGCAGAGTTCTCCTCCTTGGTGATGTTGATGTAGAAGCAGGTGTCGGACGCTGCCATGATGTGCCGCGGGCCGGGGTTCTGCAGGATGCTCTTGTTCTCCTCCCTCCGGATGCCGATCAAGCAGACGCCGTACCTGTGCCGGGAAGACGACGTGGGCATTCACAGCTGGAGAAAAGCCCCTTTGGGGCTTTGTCCCTGCACGAAGGACCTCGCAGCACCCTCCAGCCCCAGCCCCGACCCCCGCAAGGGATGCAGGCTGGCAGATACGCCCTGCCCGCCCCTGCCCTTACTTCTTGTGCGCGTGGAAGGCGGCGTAGGTGAAGCTCTTCCCCTCGTACTCCATGAAGAACTTGCTGTCGCCCATGCGGATGTGGTACACCTCGTTGCCCGAGCAGCGCCCGTACATCCGCTGCCACTGCTCCGGGGACTCCTGGCCCTCCCTGTAACGACATGCCGGGATGGACCCCGGAGGGATGGGACCTCCCGTTGTGCCGCGATGGGAACCGCCCCCCATGGTGCCAGGACAGGACACCCTGGTGCTGGCACAGATTCTGGCACATCA